GAAATCTGAGACATTTACGAGTTTCCTAACGACCACCTTCATCATCCTCAAAATCAAGTAATGGTGAGATCAGTGGGGAAGAAGGTGGGTATACAAGACATGGAGTTTCTACACCCAGGACCAAATGCTTCTGATGTGAACAGTAACATAAAAAAAATCAAAAAAAATCTGATTTTTTATGGCATACTTTCACAAATGTTTGTTGTGCATGCAAAATTTCATCGCAAAATCACATTGGTAGAAGTCGTGGTAAAAAAACAAAACTGTTGCTCTGAAAATGTAACTTACAAAAGCATTTTTGAGCTCTGATTTTGTTTTTTTCGGCATGACTTCCATCAATGTGATTTCATGATGAAATTCTACATGCACAACAAACATTTGTGAAAGTATGTCACAAAAAAATTCAGAGTTTTTTGAATTGTTTTTGAATTTCTTTGGTGTTATTGTTCACACCAAGAGCATTTGCTCCTGGCTGTAGAAGCGTACTTTCGGGTATACAAAGGTTTTTCTAAAATCTACTGCCTATCTTAAATCTTACATTCTTAAAAAGTTGATTCCCACTACTAGCAATTCTCTCTACATGCACATTGTCCACATCAGCATGATGCCAAGTCAACATTCAGTTTGCAAGACCACCACAACAGCCCTTCCACGTAAGCGTTGGTTACTAGCTAAGGGACCCACCAGCCACCACAACCTTTCAGCAAATCGTGTGATTTAATTTCCACTCAATTGGCATTAGTTCTTCTTCCAGCTTCCCTAACTGATGGGATAGAGCCGAGACGCATCGTCTTATCTTCCCAACAAATTTTGGATGCACGTCTCATTCTCCCTATAATGAAGGCTCACTCCTCCGTCGACCGTCCACGCCAAAGGCTAATGCTCCTCCCACCGGCCGTCCGCAGCCTCTTCATGCGTCGACGTACACGGCGCCTATCTCCCTTGACTGTCTGTGTCGGCCAATCGCGACGCACGACAACCAACAACAGAAACGACGCTTCTCCTATTCGACGCCACGGCGGCCGGCTTGCCGAGACCCCAGGCCACCGCTTGCCTCTGACCACTGTGGCGCTCTCAAGCGGTCGGCCGCTCCCGTGTTTAGCTTCCGCTCCAGTCTCTACTCCCTTTCTGCCCTCATGTGTTGCCCATCCTCCATCTTCTGTCCTGCAACTGGTCATGCCAGCGTATCAACTTCAGTTTGGCTTCGAGTGTACATGTCAAGAGTTGAGCCTTCCCTTGCATAGAACGTCTAGATTATTGTATATTTATATGCTCCCAACGCCCCAGATGTTGGTTAAAAAAAAACCCCGGATGTTGCAAGCTCAAGTGCAGAGATTTTCACTGGCGACTCCATGGACGTAGCACCCGTCGTGGTTAGTTTTCTCTTCCTTTTTTTATTGGAATAATGAAGACATATAAAATACTGCCTCTGTCCCAGAATATAAAAACGTTTTTGATACTAGCACAGTATCAAAAACATTCTTATATTTTGAGACGGAGGGAGTATATGTTTTGTTTCTCGGGTGAAAATTGGGTGCTGATGGCTTGCTCGCCTTTAAATTACTAAAAGAAACTTACCATACCTACTACAGATTTGAGACTCGCCTCCTTTTAGACTGCCTGCTATATGAAGTGAATTTACTGCTGTGTAATTAGCCTTTTTTTTGCACTGCATGTGTACTCCTGCCACTGACTTGGTTATTCCTTCCAAATTGTACAGTTTGTTGTAGCATACATGTTTGATGGAATGTCCAATGAGAGAGTTTTGCTACCGAGCATCTTTACTTGAATCAACGTATTCTCAGAACATGAAACATGAATGTCCTTTTTTATTTCCATTTGTGCGTCTAAATGGTTTGTGTATTGAGTAATGGAAACCCTCTTTTGCCGAGAGTGATGGAGCATGCGGAAACAAACGATCAGTAATAGGCCGCCGCTGCCAGTAACATCCACCTAGCTTTCTGTTCTGTTATTTCCATTCTTTCTGTAATACTTTTCTCCATATCTGTCAATTCGGTTGTCGATTTCCCCTTTGGTTATTTTCGTACTACAGCTTCTGAAGTAACCAGTTCGGGTGCTAAAATCCCACCTTATCTATAATTTTTTTGTAGAACCTCCATGTTGGCCATATGTATAATGTATCACATGCTATAGAGAACAATAATTTTTCTCTCCATTGTTTGCAGAATAATCAAGTTAAAAATTATTGGATCCAAAACCTTTTTATTTTTCTTATGTATCATCCATTCGAGGGTTCAAGCTATAAGCAAAACCTATTACTATCATCGGACCTATATCTGTCCATTCAAGTGTTTTCATGCATATTTATGCTCTGCAAAATATGTATATATGGCAACTATTGCAATATGACTTGAAGAAGTTAGCCAGAATTTTCGCTGCAACGCGCAGGGCATCTTCTAGTTACAGTCAATTTGTACGCCTTTACAATGATCAGGAATGATATATGCACGCTTGCCGATTAATGATTGTGGGTGTATTTTACTCCAATAAATATCTATAGATGTTCTCTTGTGAGAGGTAAAGTTGTAACCTGTCCCCGCATATCATATATACTCCTTCTGTTTCTTTTTACTCTGCATATAAGATTTGGTCAAAGTCAAACTACGCAAAATTTGACCAAATTTATATAAAAAAATATCAACATCTATAATACTAAAACTATATAGTATGAAAATATGTTTCATGGTGCATCCGATAATATTGATTTTATATTGTGAATGTTTACATTTTTAAATATAAAGTTGGTCAAACTCTACAAAGCTTGACTTTGACCAAACCTTATATGCGAATTAAAAAAAAACGGAGGAAGTACTACCCCGTGTAGTAATACAGAGGAACTCGACCCCATCTCAGGGACTCCTCACAGCTTTCCAATTCTTCAAGAGTCATAGATGCTAACTATCGTCATTATAAATCTGAACGAAGCTTGATCTACCCGGGCATAAATGGGTGACATAAGTGATTATACGGATTCGGGCCCCTTAGGGGTGAAGGTAATGACCCTAATCCTGTGTGTGTGAGTGTTCTTGCGTATAATTGTGCATAGGGATTAGAAAGAATGTGATTGAGTTTGCGTGCAAAAGAGAAACATCCCCCGCTAATTATATAGGGATGGTGCACTAGTAGAAAAAAGGTCAAACATGAAGCACATTAGTGTCGGTTTGATTTTGGCCCGGTACTAATGGTACCATTAGTGCCGGTTTGAACGGATTTGCATTAATGCCGATTCGTGTTGAACCTTTAGTACCGGTTCGTGGCACGAACCGGTACTAAAGGGGTGGTGGCAGGCTGGCGTCAGGCCGGGGCCTCACGATCACCTTTAGTACTGGTTCGTGCCACGAACCGGTACTAAAGGGGTCTGACCTATAGTGCTGGTTTGTGACACAAACCGGCACTATAGGGCAATTTTCAAACTCTACCCCCTCCCCCCCTTGTCGCCATTTCAGTTTTGAAAAAATCAAACGAAAATGATAAAAACTTCAAAAAATAAAATCCTTCGAGAGGTAGTTATATTACTACATCTACTAGTTAGGAAAATTTAAAAACTACAATTTGGACATGTTTTGCAAAAAGTGTAGGAAAAATGTAAAACGGCTATAACTTTTGCATACGATGTCGGAAAAAAATATAATATATCAAAAAATTCAACATGAAAATCCGCATCCCATGGAGACAGCCTATGGCCTGTTTGGAATTTTTTAGAATTCTCAAATTCTAAAAGGAAAAAAAGATATGGTCAAATTTCAGTTTGTTTAAAAAAATTTGGTTAAATCTGGTCAAACTACTTATTCAAGAAGTATTAATGTTACTACATAATTATTCAAGAATATTAGTGTTACTAAATAATTATTTTAATTTTTTGAATTTTGGTCAAATCTGGTCAAACTATGGTCAAACTTATTCAAGAAATATTAGCGTTACTAAATAATTACTGTTTTTTAGAATAATAGTTTCAAACTCAAACGGTGAAATGTGTGACTTCATGCTCAAGCTAAACTCCTGAGGGTTAATAGGATTGACATCTTACTATTGTCAGGAAAACAACAAGTGCAGACTCGGAAACGAAGGAGAATAGAACCCGAAAGTTAAGCGTGCTCCGGCTGGAGTAGTGAGAGGGATGGGTGACCGGTCGGGAAGTTAGATGATTTGAAATGAGTGATCCACACTTGAGCAGTTAAGAGAGGTGATTAGAGAATAAAGGGGGCCAGTGCCCACCCTTTAGTGCCGGTTATGGAACCGGCACTAAAGACCCTTACGAACCGGCGCTAAAACTTCGTTTTCTACTAGTGGTGTTGCCCACGTTTACAACAGTCTGGTGTGTTATGAAATAGTTAATGTCAAGTGAAAACTGCCCATTAAAGGCCTGTTCGGCAATCCACTGCTCCAGGAAATACGAGAATCTACGGAGTATCCCTTTCTTCACTCCGTATTTTCAACTGAAGCTCGGGCCGCTCCGGGAGCGGAGTCGTGCGGAGCAGCGAGACTCCGAACAGGCCTTATGCACTAGAAACTCCCACTTTGATGGCTTTGTTGTAATTGCTGGGTAATGATGCGGTTGAAACGTCTGCTTTATTGTTGTAATTTAAAAGATCAGTTATGCCTTATAACACCTAAAAAGGGTCATGTGTGTGGAATTTTAGCTTTAACTTAAGCAAATATCGGCCAACTTGAGGCCTTGTAATTCGAATCATGAGAATTTAAATTTTATCAAATGTTCTTATTTTTCAGGTTTTCTCAGGTACCTGTATACGTTGGATGCGTGCGGTTTGAAGTTCTCATCCCAAAATCCTAATCCGGTCGTCGAAAAGAACAACATCCTTATTATCAGCGAATACCAGTTATTAGCAAAAACAAACGGCGAGCACATCCACTGCGCTCGTATCTGTTATTGAAATATATCAAATCCGGACGGCTAATCACTAGATCAACACACACCACATCTAGCACACTTTTTGTGCGTACATGCATACACCATGTTTCTACTGCGGGCAGGTCGGGATGGGGATGCCGCAGGAGGCGAGGGTCTTGCGGGCGGTGGGGCTGTTGATGTAACCGGAATACGCGGGGTTGCTCGCGTACTTGCAGAGGCAGCCTCGCTGCGCCTTCAGGTTCGTGCAGCACGACGCCGACGGCTCCGCCCCGCCGATGATCGCCGCCGCGCACACGATCAACTTTCCCGCATCGCAGTCCTGTGCTGCCACCGACGGCGGACCGACCACCACCAGCGCTAACAGCGCGCACATGGCCACCGCCGCCACCCTAGCCATGGTCTTCGATCTAGGAGTAGCTCCGACTTCTCCAAACACGACGTTCTCCGGACTCGGGTATGAGTGTCAGATCGATGCAGTTGGTGGCACAAGAGGAGCGTTGCTCATATTTATAGGCGGGAAGGGAGAGCGCCTCAAGGAATTTGGTAGGCAATGCGTCCCGCGTGAATTCTGTGCTTAGCTGTGAAGTCTTTGGAGTATACACTTCACCTCAAGCGTTGCCCGCGCCAGAAATCCCGCGCTATTACTAGTAGTACTACTGTGCCATTTTTACCTCCAGACATTATTACCGTACATATAAACCTGGGAGGCATTCATTGGTAGTAATGATAATTGGAAATGGATACTTTAGGCTGGTCATAATGAGGAGGAACTTAGAAGTAACATCACACACTTCAATACAACTTTGCTTATGTGTCACATATTTAATGAAGAGAGAGGTGTTTGTGGTAACTAGCTAAGTTACCGGAACATCACATATTTTAAGAAACAATGAGTCTATAACCTAATAAATACATTGTTGCATGACACTACATAGATGTTCCTACCCACTGTGGAGGTAGTAACATAGTCTAGGGAAGTGTGTAAGTTACTAGACTATGTTCTTGCCCATTATGACCAGCCTTAGGTGGAACCTGTGATTACGGACAGTCGGCAACGCATCATTAATTCTGCAGAATTGCCTCACATATGGGATGATTTTTTTAGGTAAAGTTTCTCTTTAGGTCGAGCTACATGGAACCTCTAAAGCCCTTCATCATTACTCTGAGATCCTATTCTAACTAACTTGTAACAAGAAGATTTCTTTTTTTTATTTCTCTCAAATGAAATAACATATGGACTTAACTTTGCAGATCAAACAAACTTTACAACTTCAATGTGTGAAAAAACTTTCAGATTTTTTGGACCAACATAAATATACAAAATGAGGATTTTTTGATTAAAAAATAATTTTTAGCATTTTAAATGCATGAAAAAATCTGAATGTTTTTTCCCACATAGTAATTAGAATGTCTTGTTGTCCCGCAAAGTTTGAAGTTTATACGTTGTTTCATTTGAGAGAAACAAAAATAACAAATGTGCCTGCATGGATCGTGATTTTTTTATATGCGTACGGGATGATTTTTTTACTTCGATGCCTTCTGAGGAACAAGTATTATGTCATATGTATGTGCCAAGTAAAGTCTGTCTTAAACCTTATAGACTCATCCGATCCATGAAAATCAAACTCTCTATGTGCCAGCTCGTCTACAAGGTCTGCACGACCCCTCCCTCCCGACCCCCGCGGCTCCAACCCTAGGCGACACGGGGGGAGATCGCGTCGCTGGCCCTAGGACTCCTCTCCTCGACCCCTCCCTCCCGCCGCTGTCGGAGATCACGTCGGGTGAAGCCTATGCGATGGGCTGAGACGACGGTGTGGGGCATTCTCCTTTGCGCGGTGGCGGAGAACCCCTTTGGTGGAGGCGACGAAACACATCATGACAATGATTCCGCGACAAGGAGCGGCGGGATCCCGGCCGTGGGCGTGGCAGCGGCGATGGTGGAGGCGCTCCTGTGGTGGCGGCGGCCGGATTCGCGAATCTCGCCTGGCCTAGATGGGCTTGGGTGGGTTCGCGGCTCAGTTCTCCAGCGACAGGCAAGCGTGGTGGGTCTAACGGCATAGGCTGCTTTGGCACCATGGTGGTGTCGTGGTCGGTCAGGCAACAGCGGTGGATCTGTTTCGTCCAGTTCTCGGCAGAGATGGCGGTGGTCCATGCACGAGATGCTTGATGGAGTCTCTTTTAACAAATTTGGGTGAAAAACTGGTTTTGGCTAGCTACCAAGGCTGATGGTGGCGGCGCTGTTCTATGTCGTTCTCCTCTTGAAGCATCGCCGTGGAGAAATTCTAGGCCACTATCTGCTACCTCCGGGGGAAATCCTAGATTAGTAGATCAGATGACATCGGCATTCTTGTGTCGATTCACCCCCTTGGGGGCTTCATTCTTGGAGGTGTACATGGGCTCGAGGGACCAGTGGACGACATATTTGGTGGAGTTGTGCTTCAACTTACACATTTATGGCGACGGATCTCGATGGTGTGGCCCAGTGGAGACTCGACGTCCAATGCGCGGAGATGGACTCGTGCAGGAGGAGGACGCTGTCTGGCGTCGTGGTGACATTGACGAAAGAGAGGCCTGACAAGGTCGATGAGTCAGTATCTACTCTGAAGATATATCGATGGAAGACAGTGGTGACGACCTATGACAGTGCGTCAGACCGGTATGTGCCCCAGACCTGGTATGTGCCTAGTTTGGGACCTCCGGCTTTAGATGTTAGGCTTAGGTGAAAGGTCTCGGTATTCGGCTAACACTTGCTGCACCCCTTCATCAATGGATGATAGTAGCGACATATGTTGCCAAGATGGCGACTTCAGACATATTGATGTACTACTTTGTGAATAATTAATAAAGTGATTGCATGCATCTTCCAGATGCAGAGGCCGGGGATCATCCTCCTTCTCTAAAAAAACTCCTCTGCAAAGGTTTTGGCGAATGGTATGCCAAGGAGGAAGATTCTAAACTCTTGTGGGCTACGATAAGGTGACCCACTATCCCTGATGCTCTTCATTTGATCATTTTTTTGGAAAAGGAGGTTAAAACCCCCGGGCTCTGCATCAATCAATGCATACATCCATTATCATTTTGATCACGGAGCCGCTCTTGAAACAAAGGTTTCCATGTTTGCTGACGATGTGATGATGAAGCCAATGGAACTAGAGATGCAAATGTGAGCAGCCATCCTACAAGTCTATGGAGTGGCATCTGACCTCCATGCCAACTTGACAAAGAGCCATGCGCTGCCAGTTCCGTGCACGAGGAGATCATGGATACGATATGCACGATGCTTGGATGCCTGATAGGAAGCTTCCTGTGCAAGTATTTGGGATTGCCATTGTCCATAAGGAAGAAAACGGTAGCTGATAACCCACAAGTATAGGGGGTCGCGACAGTCTTTGAGGGCAGAATTTCACCTAAATTTATTGATTCGACACAAGGGGAGCCAAAGAATATTTATGAGCCCTAGCAGTTAAGTTATCATTTCAACCACTCCTGGGAATATATATTTCTGCAGCAGAGTGTTTAGTTGCACAGTAATTTGATAGTTTTGGTATCAGCAGTAACAACAACAATAGCAACATGAACAATAACAGTAGTAATTTGTGATGATTGTAACAATAGTAACAATATTAACTTATCAAAGATTAATATAAGAAAAGCGTAGGCATTGGATCACTGATGGATATTTGTGTTGGATGGCATTCATCACATAACAGTCACAACCTAGACCGATAGACAACAGCTCCAATTCATCAATGTAATATAGGCATGTATTCCGTATATAGTCATACGCGCCTATAATAAAACTTGCATGGCATCTTTTGTCCTACCCTCCCGTGGCAGCGGGGTCCATAAGGAAATCTAAGAGATATTAAGGCCTCTTTTTTAATAGAGAACCGAAACAAAGCATTAACACATAGTGAATACATAAACTCCTCATACTACAGTAATCACCGGAAAGAATCTCAATTATTGTCACATTGGGTTAATCATAACATGTAACAGGTGCATACAATTTGCAAGATAGGATCAAGAACTCAAATATATTCATGAAAAAATAGAGGGTTCGGATCTGGAATCATGACACTCGGGCCCTAGTGACAAGCCCTAAACATAGCAAATTCGTATCAACATCAATCTCAGAACACAATGGATACTAGGGAGCAAGCCCTAACAATTGACTTGATTACATGATAAATCTCATCCAACTCCATTAACGTCCAACAAGCCTACGAAAGAATTACTCACTTCTAGTGGTGAGCATCATGGAATTGTTGATGGAGGATGGTTGATGATGACGATGGGGTCGAATCCCCCTCTCCGGAGCCCGGAATAGACTCTAGATCAGCCCTCCCGATGAAGAACAAGAGGTGGCGCTCGGCTCCGTATGGTAAAATGTGATGAAACTTTCTTTCTACTTTTTCTCTCCACGAGACGGTATTTATGGAGTTGGAATTAGGGAAACTGGAGGCTCGCGACACCCACAAGATCACAGGGTGTGCCCTGGGGGTGTGGGCACGCCCCTGAGCTTGCGGCGCTTGGGTGGCCCCCTCCTGTAGTTCTCTTCACCAATATTTTTTATATATTCTGAAATTTTTCTCCGCAAATTTTCAATTCAACCCGAGAACTTTTATTTCTGCACAAAAATAACACCATGGCAATTCTGCTGAAAAAAGTATCAGTCCGGGTTAGTTCCATTCAAATCATGCAAATTATAGTCCAAAACAAGAGCAGAAGTGTTTGAAAAAGTAGATACACTTGGGACGTATCAACAACCCAATTTGATGGTCTGGTGGCTCAGCTAGCGGCTCACTTGCCCGCATGGCATACGGTGATGATGCCCAAGAGTGTGCGCCTCCTTCTAATGTAGTCAGTTCTATGTACCATACCTTCCCTAAAAAAATTCTATGTGCCATACCTATTCACTCAATGCTTGTGTTGGACATCCCCTTGAAGACTCTGGCAGCCATGATCAAATATATGTAGAGGGTTTCTATGGCGCGGCAAGGCTCAAGCTGGAGGTAGACACTATGTGGTTGCATGGGGATTCGTTTGCTCACCGAGATGGGCCGCGACATTGGGCATCCCGAACGTCAAGTGGCTCAACATTGCACTACAAGCCCGATGGCCATGGCTACAACATTCAGACAATTCACGACCATGGAATGAGTTCACTCTAAGTATACCAGTGGAGTCTCTAGCCCTACTCAGAGCAGTGGCGCATATGACACTGTGTGATGGTGCGACCGCCCTGTTTTGCGAGGATAGGTGGGTCTTTGGATGGTGAGTTCAAGAGTTGGCTCCTCAGATTTATGATAAAATCAATGCTCGGATTCAGGCAACAACAACAGTTATGGATGGCCTCCAAGACATAGCTTGGGCAAGGGATTTTGAACCGGAGAT